AAGGGGCACACACGTTATGGCGTGCAGTCACGTAGCTGGGTTTCTTTGATACCCAGTGGGTTTCTTGGGTATCTAATACAGATGTGCCAATAACTACTGCACATGCTCAAACTGTGAAATGCCTCATCATGCGAAAGCCAGTTTGTGGGACTACATTCATTCATTAAGCGTTCTGTTCATTGACAGGTCCGATGTTGAATGATCTCTGCCATAATCATCTGATTTCTGCTGCTCTCTTCATCTATCTGCACGTCCTTCCTTGTTGAATATGAGCCCAGTGACCCGAGTTCAATTTCCAGCCACTGGCAGTATCAATCGGAAGTGATATCTGAAATGGTCCCAGCCCCATCCTTAATGGACCAGCATGGTTAAGTATGGGCAAACTCGCATGACCAACACAGGGCGGGATGATCCTTCATCCAATCGTGGATTAACTAAAGACTGAACATCGTTCAATTATTATAATTATTGCATGAAGTAAAGTACTCTACATGCTAAACCATGTCCACAACTTTTGATTATAATTGTCAAATTGAAAATATAATTTAAACCAATTTTTTTCAAACAATAAATCCTCCCCAGTCCAACAACAATCTGCCACCCCAGCCCCAGAGAGATGCTGCAGTAAGCACAGACAGGAGATGAAGAGGGTACAGTGGACACTGCTCATGGAGACGCGACATAGCGATGGACCACTGCTGGGCAGACGACGCGAGTGGGGCACCGCACGTTATGTTTTCCAACAACGAGGCGACCCCCATCGCCTGGCACCTTCTTGAGGAATGCACCAAGGAAAACATATCTCAGTAAAATACGGCAACCCTCACATGCAATGCTATTGGTACTCATGTTATTCTTGTGACAACGCTACCTTGTACTGTACATCTCCCTTGCCAAAAGAAAAAAACTTCACCTGCATATAATAGGTTGATGTGGAAGCAAGAAAAAATGTAGTCACTAAGACAACCGAAAGTAATGACGATGAGCATGCACATATGGCAATCACTGATGTATACACATCACAAACTATTCGAAGCTCAATAAATTGAGTTTGAGGCTATAAATGTGACCACATTTAGCTGCTCAAGAAGTGTAGGTAATGCAGTGGACACAATGTTTACGCCCAGGAAACAAACTGTTTTTGGAAATGGGAAATTGCTGCCATGAAGGGCTGGAAGTAGGCATCAAATAATTCAGACATACAAAATATTGAATTGTATACAAATCCAGCTTCTGCTATTTTTCATTTCACTTTGACTGTAACACTTCTTCAAATAATTGTATGTACTTCTGCAAGTATTAAAGTATAAAAAAAAATGTGTTGCATGTATATCAACTGTTTACCCTTACAGACGTACAGTATATTCAACTCAGTAACAAATGATAAAAGAACGGATGATTTTGAAATTCACTACAAATGTTATATGTCATGAAACAATGAAACACAACTGCATCTAAACAGGGAATCAAGGAACCATGTTTTCATCTAGCTATGAAGCCTGCAACCAGAAAGTGCACGCTTCCTCTTAACATCACCTGTGTGTATGGCCCCAAGTATTTCCTCTTCGGCTAAGGTGACCTCCTCTGGCAATGCCTCCTCCGCATCCTCCAACAGAAAAGGTGTCAGTCAAACCTTATCTCCACGGCCAGTTTTCGCAGGACTGGAGCGTTTGAAAAGTCCTTCCTGCTCCTCCTCCATAACATGACACCTTTATTGCCGAAGTAATGATTAAAAAGGCCTTCTCACTCTAGTTATCTATCTTGTCTCTTTCCTATGTTATATTCCCGGTGATGTCTCACTTATTTCCTCTTTATACATGTAAATCATCATGAAAAAAAATGTTACAGAAGTGAGGGAAGACGGAGGAAGAGGAGCCAAGGGGGCGGGAAGAGAGTGAAAGGACATGAAACGGAGATAAGAAAGCCAACGGAAAGGAGAATGAGGGAAATCGAGAAGCAGTGGGAGAGAAGTTTCGGAAGAGGCGAGAGAGATTGAGACGTGAAAGGGAGTAATGGGAATAAGCAGTGACGATGAGAGGTGAAACAGAGAGGCAGGCGGAGGGAAGTGGGTAAGAGGGGACAGAGAAAGAGAAACAGATAAAATCAGAAACAAAACTAAATATCCAGATAAATTGGGATATACAGTGCAGAGAAATGTGGAGAGAGACAGGACTCTGTGTGAGATTAAACTATTTTCTGGCTGGCTGGGAAGGAAGGATGGACGGATGGACGGTCACGTCCAAAAAACTTTTGGTTGCGAGTTACAATAAAAAAAAAACCCTCATACTCAAATCGTAATTGATGCTCATCCGACGTCTCTATGAACGACTGAAACTGGCCCGGTCAGGGGCCATCCATTTAGTACGTACGCATGAAGGGGGGTTAACCTAAATGACGCTTGTGTGTCGGGGGTCTACTGACAATGTACGTACGCATAGGAAACCGGGGGGGGGAGGGGGGGTGAAGCCTCGATAATAATTATAATTTGTCTACATTGGCCTTCAAATGAGTTAAATTGTGCAAGGTGGACTATGTGTTTGCTTAAACACGTTAATATTATTAATCCTTGATCGTTTCTGCGTGGAATAAATATCGGCCGTTCTATAGGATTTGGGGGGAGGGTGTAAAAAGTACGCGTGCGTACAGGGAGGGGTCAAGCTGACAGATGTTTACGTACGTACTAAATTGCCCTAATATCCCGTATTTGTTTACACCGTGCCGAGACATGCCCCTACTGGACATGGAGGGGCGGTACAAGCACCAGGGCAGGTCCACGCCGCCTGCACCGACAGAACCCGGCTGGGTCCACACCAGCAAAGGCAAGCTCAGCTGTGCCATCGCCATCAAGCCTTCACCCACTGTTCTTGTTCGTGAATAAGCTTTACAAAACAAAAATATAATTGTCAAATCAGTGATGAAATGTAATAATCGTAAATCACTTATGCTAATGTATCCTTAGTCTGTATTTATACGAGTCAATGTACAAAGTGAAAGAAACATGCTTCAAGTGGGGAGTTGCATAAAAACACCTTAAGGGAATATTCCTCTCGTAATGCTTTCCATTAATAATGGAGCAGAATTGTCCACGCAAAGTGTGTTGTGCAACGAACTCCCACATCCATCTCAAGCCACGTGTCTCCCATTCGGGAATTTCCCTGGAAAGGACGCAATACCCCCTCAAGACACACAGATGTCGGTCAACACACAATCACAGCACGTAGCAAGCTCCATTGTGCTGCATCTTCACATCCAGTGTTGATGTAGCCCTCCGGGTTGCGTGGAAAGCACACACAACCCGAAACACGAACAGCTCACGCAAGAACATTGTTAAACACTGATTGAATCTTGGTCAAACAAAATAAGATTTAAAATCACGGCCAGACGCTGATCCGTCATTGCTGACCTCACCCCAATCAATGAAACGCGTCGGTGCATTGACGTCTTATTGATGACAAATTGGTAGAAGCAACGTGACATTCTCGTTTCGATTTAACTCGGCTTTAAACGCGTGTGGGACTAGCCTTTAACACACAATCCTCGGCGTGTGTCTTACGGAAACTGTTGCATCTTTCCCTCCGAGTGAACCCCACGAATAAACTCTTCCGTGAATGCCCCCAAGGCCCACATCACGCTCTTCACACGCGACAACACGCCCCGAATCGCCAACTCGTATCCAGGAATCCCAGCCGTGCTGTGGCTCGGTTCGAATCGGCATTAACCTTCGGCAGCACAAAGCAGGAGGAGGAGGAGAAGGCAATAGCCACATTGGGCTCGGGGTGAATGAGACGTGGGATGAAGCCCTTTGGATCTCAGCTTGGAGGCTCAACGCAGCCGCTGCTTTGCTTTGTCTGCGATCCGCGCCTTTCACGGACAATGGCTCAGGCGATTAACAATGTAAAGTCCATCTTCTTGGTTCTTTCGGTAAAGACACGTAGAAGGGAAGTAATAATATTATATTATTATATTATTTTATCATATTATTATTTTATTATATTACATTATTTTATTATGTTTTATTTTTATTATTTTATTACTTCCCTTCTACGTGACTTTACCTAAAGAACCAAGAAGATGAATCCCTGCAGTCACGAAAGCTTTAAATCGAAATGTAAAGTCCCTTGCCAGTGCGGCCACAAACGACAGTATTCAGTGATATTTGACTGGTTGCCACCCCCAGGTGAATGAAGAGCCATTGAGCATTGCCTCTGTAGTTGCCTAATTGCGTGAGACGGCACTTCTGCTGCTGCTCGATGGCATTTCCTGCACGTGCCGTGTGACATCCTTTCGTCAATAACAGTGTTACAGTAATTTAATGTACTCGACATTCATATTGCTCAATATTGTTCGTGCGCAATATATTTACCGCTATAATACAGTATATTATTGCATGTGTTACTGTATTATAGATGGGTTTTTTTATCAGTGTAGTTTTTCTTACTGCTATGTGCTGCATATTGCGTATATTATCATTAGTCTACTGGCATGTCTTTACTCCTACATGCTTAAGTTAACGATCGTGATGAGTCGTGTTTTCAAATACATATATCGGAAAGTGTTAACCTCGACTTTCCGTGTTACTGCAGTGTCAGTCAAGCATTCCCCATGTAATTTGTATAGCAATATTCCCCCGATGTCTAACTCTACTGCCCATGATATCCTTATAATTAACTAACCACGTTACATTTTTCGATTTAAAGCTTTCGTGACTTCAGGGATTCATCTTCTTGGTTCTTTCGTTATTATTATTATTATTTCCCTTCTACGTGACTTTACCGAAAGAACCAACAATATATAACCACGCTACCTTTGTTTTTACAGTACCACGCGCTCTGTGTGATCTTACTGCCACACCACGCCGATGTTATTATACTCCACCACCCCACCACCCCCGTATAATTGCACGGCAACTCTCGTGCGTTAACCCCGCTGCGTCTTAATGCCCCGTGTGGGTCGTCGATTTGTCTGCTGCGAGGCCACGGGCCCCCCACACCCCGACTCACCGGAGCAGCACCACGAGGACGGGGAGCCGTGCGGGAAGCGAGCCCCCTCCACCCGGGCGCACGCCTCCACGAACAGGTGCGGGCACTCCATGGTCGACACTCCTCGCCGACCAAGTGTCCACCAAGGAAGGCTGGGAGAAGGAGGATGAGGAGGGAGCGGCAGGGGGGGGGTCGAAACGCTGCGTCGCTGCCTTCGTTTTCCTTCACGCACAAAGGAACAGGGTGGTGGTGGTGTTCATCGCCGCCCCTGACCTCGCCTCGGCCCAGCAAAGGCAAAACAAAACAAATCCCTCCCCCCCCGGCCCCGCCACGCCGCACACCTAACCCGTCAAACTTTAGCGCGATTCTGTCTGTCCGTCCGTGTGTATTGTCAGGAGCGTCGTGCGCACGGGAGCAGGAACTCTGCGGCCCCCGCTCGCCGCGACTGAGCCTTGAACCCCGCGAACCCGCGGTATTTATAGTCACGTGGTACGGCTTCCGCCGCGTGACGTCGCTTGTCGCGAGGGCTTCTGGGTGACGTCACCGCGTGGTTTGCTGCCCGCCGACTCGGCCACGTGCGAGGCGCGCGCGTCGAGTGACGCGACTCACTTGCTCCGTTTCTTTTCATTTGTTTGGTATAGCACTGTGAGCCATTCGGCACTTGAATCGGGTGCAAGCGCAACAAACATGAACAAGAAAACATCTTAAAGTGACTATGCGCAAACAGAAAAATCCAGGAAAAAACAGCAACAAAATGTTTCAAGAAAAAGCACCAACGCTGTGTGCAAAAATCCCAGTGGGATGCAAGTCAAAAATAACAACAGCCACAAGACAACTTAGATTAAAGCCATCATTATAACTCCGTACTACAACAAACAAACATGGTCAAACCCAAAAAAAAATTTGAAATCAACTAAATAAAGCCACGTGAATTCAGGTTCGCATCTCACCAGAGCTTCAGTTTTCATTTATTTGGTATAGCCCTGTGAGCCATTCGGCTCTTGAATCGGGTGCAACCGCAACAAACAAAAGACAAAAAGATGAACAAGAAAACATCTTAAAGTGACTATGTGACTATAGCCTGTCAACTGAGAACGAGGAGTTTAACACGTAGGCTTTCGCGACCAATATTATCCATATTCAAGGTGTCGCTGTTTTAGATCGCGTAAATATAAATGTGTCGTTCAACCCACCACCACCCGATACAGTCAATTGTACATAGAGTTTTAGTGATTGGTGCCCAACGTCTGACATTGTATGCTGTGTGTAATGCTGGGTAAGCTACGTGGATTTTCATGCAATTTTTTATATTTAGTTTTTCATAAAAGGCTTTTTAAATCATAACTAATTAATAGTTTATGACAACAATAACACATTTTCTCCAAAAATATACCAGCGCCGCTTTTGATAAAAGCCAAGTGCGCCCCTGTTTTTGTATTTTATCTTTTCGTTTTGCACACCATTACAGAATAATAATACATAATCTATTCAGTTCATTTGTGTGTAACAATAGTTGGCTTTTGGAAATTTTTAAATTGAAATAAATAAGTAGAATCACTTGTATGAATTTTGCACGCACTTATAGTGAAAATTTGTGAACACCGACCGATTAATAATACTAACTTTTTTCAAATTCACATCAATAAAAAATCCAGTAAGTTGTTGTAACTGAGTGCAAACTAATTTTGGTAAAAGCGACCTGCTCACATTTTTTGCTAAAATGTGTGAACATTTGTGAACACCGACCTGTCCCCCCGGTTTATAGTTAACTTGTTTGTATTCACATCAATACAGAATTCAGAAGTCGAAACTTATAATAATTAAATCATTCTTACAACAATTGCACATTTGTAACAAACGTAAGTCGAGAACCAAGTGTTTATATTTTTTATTCACTCTCACAGGTGAGGACATTTTTAAGTTTGGAAACCCTATTTTTTATTGAAACATTTCGTTTACTTTCTTCCTGATAGACAGGAAACTCAAACAGCTCTTGTAACATTTCCTCTTTAAGATTTTTGTTTAGAAAACAATAGTATGGTAACCCCATAGTTTTTGTCGAAGACTAAAAATAAAACTCAATGTTTATTATATAAATATGCATTTAATAGTTGTTTTTTTATATTACAAAATGTACATTGTTTGTGTGTTCTGTGTTTATTAAATTTGAATATAATATAAATATTGTGGATATAAACAGTAAATTCTTACTCAAATTTCACCAATAAATGTTTAAACAAATTCTTTGGTGACACTGCTGTGACAGTGGTGCTACAAGCACAAACATAAAACTCAACACATTTGTCTGCCTGTAAAGAAATAAAAATATATATACGGCGGTTTGCGCAATGGACATTTTTTATTGCACGTGAATAAGTCAAACATTTTCAAAGTAAGTTTAAATTGTCTCCTAGAATCTTTCCTGCTTGCAAGATTTAAAGGACGTTTGGAAAATCTATCGCCAAGGTGTTTACCAGTTAAAGTTGTTTAGATTCCATACACGTAGGCAGCAATTCATGCTGTTTTTTACTGGCGGTAGTGAATCAACTCCAGCTCGGAATCGTATGTCAAGTATTCTCACGAATAATGCAACTGATTTTAATCAGGCAAACGTGTTTTAACGTGGCAAAGTATCGGGATGCCACGCATGAATGTTTCAGCAGGGGGCGCGCTGACCACGAGGCGAGAAGGTCACTGGGCAGTCCAGTATTACTGGTAGGAACCTCCTGGTTACACCAACCCACAGGGGATTATTGTGTCCGTCCGTCGTGCAGGGAGGGGCTGGGTGGGGAGGGGCTGGGTGGAGAGGGTGGGGCTGGGTGGGAAGGGGAGGGTGGGGAGGGGCTGGGTGGGGAGGATGGGGAAGGGCTGGGTGGAGAGGGTGGGGAGGGGCTGGGTGGGGAGGGTGGGGTGGGGAGGGTGGGGCTGGGTAGGGGGTGGGAGGGGTGGGGCTGGGTGGGGAGGGGCTGGTCACACCGTGGTGCCCTTATAAAACTCAACGTTTAACCTACTCACGCCGGCTTGTGCCCGCCCTCACAGTCGGGCATATTTGCGGAATACACCACGCCGCTGGCCATTGACCGAGCAACCCAACGTTCCTACCAGCTCCCTCAGCAGGAATGTGTTTTGTTGATTGTTGTATTTGGAACAATCATTGTTGTACAGTTCCATTTAAACATTACTGGAATAGTGGTTAACGAGAGTTATTTTGTTTATCAATAATTGTGCACTACTATTGTAACAGCTAGAATTTCGATAGCAATGTTTTATTGAGTTTATACGAGCAAACCGCACATCCTTCCAAGCCAGCCAACCAGAAAAAAACTTTTAATCTTATATAAAGCCCTGTCTCCACGCATCTCTTGCCTTCTCTGTACTCCATACCCAAATATATCTCAATTTCTCATTGTGTGCCTGTTTCTAACAGTTCCTCTATTCATCTGTTCCCTCTTTCACCTCTCCCTGTTTCTCGCTCTCACCTTCACTCTCCTTATTCCCACCTCTCCTTTCCCCGTCTCAATCGTTTTTGCATTTAACCTAATCCTGAAACTGTTTATTCCCTTCCTCTCACTCTCATCTTTTTTGCTTTGCTCTCTCTTTTCGGTTCATGCCCTTTCACTGTGTCCCCACCCCTCTCATCTCGGCTCTCTGCCTCTTCCGCCATCGATCTCCCTCCCTCACCTATCTCCCTCTCCTCTATCTACCTCCCTTATCTCGCTCTCCCTCTCACTCATCTATCTCCTCTCACAATTGCGCGGGTTTCACGGCTCGGGTGGAGAGTGGATTTGGGGGAGGTGTGACGTCGGCGTTATGCGCGACCCCGGATCGATGCACCTCCGATTAGCACGGTTGGCAACGTACGGTGTGAAAGAAGTTCAACATACGGTACATATATGCAACGTGGTGGGATATTGGTGATGTAATCACGCAGATATGCACAGTCGTAAACGGAACAAAGGCGAATAAAAAAGTGCAAATGTAATGAGAGCAAGAGGGACCATAAAAAGTTAGGTACATGTGCAAGTCATTCTTGGATCTTTCGGTAAAGTCACGTAGAAGGGAAATAATAAAAATAAAACACAGTAAGTATTATTTTCTTTTCCTTCTACGTGGCTTTACCGAAAGATCCAAGCATATGAATCCCTGCAATCACGAAAGCTTTAAATCGAAATTTACATGTGCAAGCTCTATATATTGCGGTCTAACAGTGACATAAAAACACTTGCAAACATCTGGGAGCAAAATACACCAGAAAAAGTGAGATACATGTATAAGTATGTTCTGTGTTTAAGTTTAATCGGGAAATAAAGTGGAGTGAATGGAGGGAGCATGTTTTATTTTGGGGGGGGGGGGGGGCAGAGCTTTGTGACGTCACATTTGAGAGGGGATCTGACTTTTTGTGACGCCGTATGACGAGGGTCAAAAATCGCCCAAAATCGTGTGACGTCATTCATGGACGGCCCCATATGATTTTATGTTTCACACAAGATACGCGAACTCAACAGTGGCAGCACGGCGTTACATTTACGGGCGGTCACCTTGACGAGAGTGACCCCCGTGGGACCTCCCGTGACCTCTCACAGGGAAGCGACCCCACGCGGTCACGGCCGTGACCCGCATCGCGCGATCCACGAAATCGATACTCAGAGAATCGCTGCGCTGAGAATCGCGCGCGCGAACCCCCCCACCCGCCACCACCCGCCCTGTCATCGCGACTGCGATTCGCCGACGTCACTTCAATAACCCCCGCCCCCCAAATCGCGAATCGAGAATCGGTTACGTCGGGAATCGTTCCGACGATTCTGGAATCGATTATCAGACCTCGCTCATAGGAATCGCCGCACGCCTGCCGCAGTTTTGCCGCCACCGCCGCCGCCGCCGCCGCGTCCCATGTCCATGTCGCGCTCGCTCCACGCCTGCGAGCGGCTGTCCGTGCCGGCCCTGCGGCAGCTGCTGCGGGACACGGACACGCTGCTGTTCGACTGCGACGGGGTGGTGTGGCGCGGCGCCGACGCGCTGCCGGGCGCCGCCGCCACGCTGAACGCGCTGCTGCGGACGCCGGGCAAGCGCGTCTTCTTCCTCACCAACAACAGCTCGGCGACGCGGGCCGGCCACGCCGACAAGCTGCGGCGTCTCGGCGTGCGCCTGCCCGGTGGTGGGGACGACGACGACGACGACCCGCAGCGAAGCGTGTACGGCACGGCGCACTGCGCGCCCCTCTTCTTGCTGCTGCAGCGGCAGCAGGAGCAGCAGCAGGAGGAGAAGCAGCGGCCGTACAAGGTGCTCCATTCATTGACGTTCGGAGGAACGTTGCACTTTTCATCTTCTTGGTTCTGTCGGTAAAGTCACGTAGAAGGGAAGTAATAAAGTAATACAAATAAAACATAAAACAATAAAAAAAAATTCTCACGTTTTAAAATAAGTAAATATTAAAAGTTATACTAGATCAATAATAAACCATAAATAAAAATAAATAAAATTCTCACGGCGTTTAAAAAAATAAAAAAAATACTAGATAAAAAATAAATAAAATTCTCACGACGTTTCGGCCACAACGCAAGCAGCCGTCCTCAGGTGAGGACCAGGGTTGTCGGGAAGACAGCGTCCCAATGTGACTTGACCGACAGAACCACTTGTGTGAATGACGCTGCGAGAGTGGGATGTGTGTGTGTGTCTTGACAGCTTTGTGTGTGTTCTTGGTTCTTTCGGTAAAGTCACGTAGAAGGGAAATAATAAATATTAAAAGTTATACTAGATAAATAAACCATAAATAAAAATAAATACAATTCTCACGGCGTTTAAAAAAAATAATACTAGATAAAAAATAATAAGTAAAATTCTCACGACGTTTCGGCCACAACGCAAGTAGAAGGGAAATAATAAAATAAGACAAATATTAAACAATAAAAAAGTTTTTATTTTATTTTCTTGCTGTGGATTTCACACCTGATGACGATTGCTTGTGTTGCAGTCGAAACGTCGTGAGAAATGTTTTTAATTGTTTCAAGAATATGAATCCCTGCAGTCACGAACGCTTTAAATCAGCTTTGTGTGTGTTAAACGTTAACGTAGGTGGGGGGGGGGATGTGGATTCAAGGCATTATGCTGAACCTCCCTGTATTCACTCGTGCAGCAACTTAGCCCGAGCACGTTGATAACCCCATTCCTGTATCATATATCTGCATGTTTATATCGTATCCAGAGTTTCATAAACCCCTATTATGAAAGCCGAAACCTCTGTTTGATTAGCGCTTTTATGGCACGAGAATGGTTGGTACATTGTCGTCTCGCGTTTAACGCCTTCGAAGTAGGAGGGCTTTGAAAAGTTAAACAGCTCTCCGTTGTGAGTGCATGAAGTGCCAAGCAAGTGATGAGGCTGCGTGTGGTTTCCATTGGAGACCAGCCGCTGTAATCACAGTGTATCGGTTTGGCCATGTTTGTTTGTTGTAGTACAGAGTCAGACTGATGGCCTTAATCTAAGTTGTCTTGTGGTTGTTGTTGTTGTTTGACTTGCATCCCACTGGGATTTTTGCACACAGCGTTGGTGTACGGTTTTATTTCTGCAATATTTTGCTGTCTTTTCTTGGAATTTCTGTTTACACTTAGTCACATATTCACTTTAAGATGTTTTTTGTTCGTGTTTTTGGTTTTTGTTTGTTGCGGTTGCACCCGATTCAAGAGACGAATGGCTCACAGGGCTTTACCTAATACATGAACTTGAACTTGTAATCGCAGCCATTGGCCGTGTGAGAACGTAGAGACGGATTCGTGTGCCCTCCCATGTGGAGTGGCCACGTGGTTGGGTGGCCACAAGTTTACTTACGTAACCGTGCTGTCGCAGGCAGGTTCGAACGACCGCGAAGTTAATCTCTCGCGGTAAGTTGTGTCCATCTCCCAAATCCGGATTGTTGGAATCTGCTGATAACGAGAACATCCTCTCTGGTCTCGCCTGTTTCGCCGACAAGAGGATGACGAGTCTGACGCATTGTTAGTCGGTCGGCTTTGTTGGTGGCAGGGGGGGGGGGTGTGAAATGATGGGACTCATTTGGGGTATCGTTGAGTCACCAGCGTGTGCACATTTTTTAAAAAATCCTTTATATTAAGTTCACTTGCTTGCTTGCTTGCGAGCTTACGACCATGCAAATCTTTCGGTCGTTTTTTAACCCACTTCCCGTGATCCAATCGAGCTGACATTTTGCACACAGACTCGTTGTGCGTGACAATTTATTTTCGTGAAAACATTTTTCCTAAATTTTCCACTTTTTAGGGAAAAAAAATGTTCATATTTAATTTAAAATACCAATGTGATTAAAATGAAACTCTTACTCAAGAAAAACAGAAATGAATAATAAAATAAAACCGATGCCACGCATATAAAGGATTTATAGTGAAAAACTAAGTTTTTACGGGTTAAATTTTTACTGCTTCCCATTAGATATGCGGATTCTCTCGGTGATGAGTTTTCTAATTGCGTGGAAAGTAATTTTCGCGTTTTGACAATTGGCACGGTATGAATGATTCATTATGAAGATTCTGAATTGAGTAGCCCTTTTGAAAACACTATGCCCCTAATAGTAAGTGTATTTCTGCAATCCTTTATGCGTTAATGGAGCTCTGTGGAATGTTAACTGCTGCTCTTAAAAATAGTTACGATGTCAAATGTGTCAAAGCCAACACCTCGCATGTGTTACCCGCATCACCTCTATGAAAACGACACGTGTAAACGAGGGCTCCACAGCACACCTACGCGTGTGTGTCTCTGAAAGCATCCACGATGCTGTAAAAGTAGTTAGCGGACATCAAGTCTTTCTTTAAGGCCACCTTGTTGTGTGCTAGACAGCACATTACAGATATGGTAATGTGAGAGAGGTGTTCTATGAATATAAAATGCCTTGTCATGTACGCTGGTGATACGCCTGAGAAGCGTCGCCCTACCTGACCTCGGTAAACCAATCATAACACTCTGTAACACAATTTTTGTTTCTGGGTGCTAAGTGTTATTTTTATAATTGCTTATGCCATTTCCACACTTTGCGAACAATCATCAGCCCGAGCTCTCAATGTCCTGATAGTGCATTGTCTTTGTGCTGTTCGCCTTTTGGCGTCCTCTGGTCTAACATTGTTTGAGACTAGGCTCTAAAGAAAGCTGTCTCTGGTGTGGACCAATCCGTTTCAAAGATAATGCATCATATACTGTCAGAGCATGTTTTTTGTTTGCATGTTCACCTGAGTGAGAACTTATTTCACGTTGTCAATCTCCACAGACACTTTTTAATGCCTTAAGACTGTTAAAACGCAAATGACTCATTCCACCTTAAACAGTGTGTCATCTGAAATTGTCAATCACAAACCACACGCACACACACCTTTCAAGCCGATGTAAGACCGGTTTGAACTTTCTCCCACCCCCGCACCAGCATGTTGAAACATAGCCAAACAATCCTCATCGTGTGGGTAAGGCTTTCATCCAGAACTGTATTGACAAATACCTCTAAATGAGTATTACTACTACTTATAAATACAGAAGTAAGCTTCATCCAGAAGCAACTTTTGTAATGAAAAACAAGTCAAGTAGTTGAGTATAATCATGTTACACGTCTCTTGTCAATAGCGCTATTGAAAGTGTTGTAAAATCGAAGTGTCTTTCTGCTCAGACTAGTGTGGGATGGTACTTATCTTCTTTCAAGACCGTGAGCCTGCGATAAAAATGCCACATTCTTATGATGTGGTGCCAGGTTCTCCAGTGAATGAGCATTGTTGACATTTCAGAATATGGAATGCATATTATGAACTTGAAGGGACACACATTTTCATACACAAGCAAACAGATATGGAGGCATGCAATTGAGGAGAGGAAACACAAAAAACATCAACACATTTGCACATAAAACAGAAACCCAAACTTATTTTATATCTGAAAAATCAACAAACTGCAGGAGGCTTTCAGAGAGAAACTCTTATCAGTTAATGAAATGGATAACAGTAACCTTGCTTGACCCCTTTTTGCGAAGTTATTAAATTATCAAATCTGCCTTTATCCTCTGGCCAGGTAGCTTTAATGACTCTACAAACAAGAATTGCACACTCATGTTGTGTAATGCAGGCTGTGTAATCCACATTGCATACATGTGAAAATAGTTGTGCACTTTGAACGTGTGGCATGTATTGAAGCAGAGCATGCCTGCGCTAGGCAATGGTTTATTGCAGATTGCGCAGCCGTGCGTCTGCTGGATGCTTGTTGGGCGCAAAGTTCTGAGTACAAAACGTTTGTCTACTCATCGAGCCTGAGTACAGTGGTGTGTCCGATGCCTGCGCTTGCAGCCACTCTGTCCGTGCAAAGACACTTGATGGCACTGCGAAAATATGCTTATAGATGTGAAAGAAGCTGATGCCCTGTAAAGTGTCAGCTTTACAGCCACCAATACTAACACATTAAAACATGAGTCTTTACATCGGGACAAAATGTACAACAAAAATACCTGGGGTATCTGATCGAAAGCGATATTGACTTGAACTTAATCTAAACTATGTAATATGTGCTGCAGTTTCCCCATGCTGAGAAAGCAAGGTATTAATTAAATAACTTGCCTTATTAAACACCGCATGTATTTGCAGCTACTGTATGTTGAAAGTGGCTTTCTGGAATCTGCAATAATAATGGATTAATGCTGTTATGAGGAAACAATAAGCTACAAGATGGAGTTGCGTTTTGGTGTGATGGCACATCTGGCTCTTGATGTCGCAGAAGCAGGAAGTAGCAGGACGTTATTAGCACATTCGGAGACTACAAGACGTTGATATTACTTCCGGATGTATTTGCTTGATTTCAGTTGAAACGCTGCCCTTGACTGGGCATTTTTATGTTTTAATGTTGTCCACTTGTTGTGATTGGCACATGGATGTTAGTTTTGATTCTATCTGCCACACCCTCCATCCCTTTTGCACTCAAAACCAGCTCCCTTAATCTGGCCTTCCTCTTCGTATTTTTCTCTTCCACATATTTCTTGCTCCCACAACACCAGCCCATACTCACAATTCCCAGAATCCTCCCCTTGCCTCAACAATTAACCCCATGTTCACTGTGACCAGTCAGCATTGATGGACCCCATGAGGTTCACTGCCAGTAGATGTAGTTAATCGAGAGTCACGTGTATTGTCACCTTTAATGTTGACACTAACTGTCCTGCGAATCCTTCAGGATAATTATTGACTTCAGGTCTCATGCCCGCCAGGACGAGGATGTCTGCAGATAATGAGAAACGTTGCAGACGGGTTTGACC